TACAGACCTCTTCTCCTTCCTCCCCCTTTTTTAGTGCTACAGTAGCAATGGGCCCTGTTTCAGGGAGTAATATTCCTTCTCTGATCTCTGTTGGTGGGGCACAGTGCTGCTGTCTATAGCCTAGCATTGCCATTAAAAGAAAGCCGCCTTTGCTTGTGCACGCATTCTAGCCTACAGAGAAATTGCCGTAGACTAGAGGTTTTTTAACATCTTGGTTTACAAAAAAATTAATATATTCCAGCAAAGACATGAAACCCTATGTAATAGTGTTAAGTTTATTGGCCGGAAGCTTTTGTTTAGTTCTGAGATCTGAGAGCCCAAGGTTGAGAACACCAGTACTGCATAGTAGGATATCTCTGATTCTGCCAGTTCCTGCTTTGGGCTGTGCAAGATACTGGCTTTGATAAGGCTTTCTGGCATGAAGATAGCCAGCTTACTGTACCCTTGGAGGACAAATTAAAAAAAACAAAACACCTTCTTGAAGGGTATTGAGGCTTGATCAGTTACAAAACAGGAAACTCTTAGCTGTTAAGGGAGTTACTGTACATGGCAGTATGTTATCACAGGCCAAGAATGCTGTTGTCACAGTATGTCCTGCTTCGGTGGAACAGTGTGTACAAGAAATGCTAGATAGTCACTTATAACACTTTGTTTCTTTGACATAGGATTATCCAATCTCTGATGTTCATCTGATTTTGAAGAAGGCAAAGGAACTTCAAGATTCTAAATAGCCCATGAGCTTAACAAAAAGTGTCAGAGAAACTGTATGGCAGTGGATCCCAGGAGATGTCCCCGTGCAGTGTGGTGCATTAAAGCTCCTAGTGGTCTCTGCAGGACTTCAGGTTTCGTGTTTGGGCTACTGGCCACCTTGAAGACTTCCTTCTACTTTATTTATTAAGTCAAGGACTGATTACTTCCCCACCTACTTGGGTCCTGCACTCCATTTTTTTTTTTTTTTCAAAACTCAAACACCTCTCTGCTGCCAAAAGCAGTTCTTTGTATCTTATTTTTTAATGACTTTAAGTCTGGGGAGAAAGAAACCATCTGTCTACATATCCCTGAAGGGATGGACTGCTGCGTCTGGGAAGTAACACATGGAGTAACTTTGGATGGGGAAGGGACAGGCTGAGTCCAGTGGAGTTTGGTGGGTGAGTATGGAAGGATCTTCTTCCTGTGAATAGAATGTATTCCAGTGAAATCACACATCCTGCCATTCGAGCAGCTTCTAGATTCTTCTCGCTTGTGTCTGCACTTGGCCATCCCTTGGGGTGTGCAAAGATGATTACATCAGTTTCTGGTGATTGTCATCTCACATCTGGCAGTTGGGATCCCTTTGCCTGGGAAAGAGACCTTGAGAAGCTGAGATGGGAGGACACGATTGCAGCTGGTGGCTTTGTGCACTGAAACTGCCTGAATCCAGAATCGCCTTATCAACAAGGTCTCCTTGAAAGCAAGACTGTGTTGGTTTTAATCAGTGTGATGTGTAGTTTGAAGTCAAGCCTTATTACACACAGCCTTAGAGCAGGAGCTTGTTGCTGCGGGGAGGCCTCACGCTGCTTTCCTGGCTCTGAACTGGAGCATATCCAGCTACAATCAAGATTCTGAAATACAAGAAACGGGCATCTAGTCATGTGCAACAAAGACGGCTGTATTGAGGGGCTTATACAGGCATGGCACTGGGGTTTTCTGCCTCAGTGGCTTGCATGATAATACCCTGCATAAGCTCTGGTCACAGTAACCTTGATATTGTGTCATAGTCTTGTATGTCTTGCCAGGAAGAGACATGATAGGGGTCTGACCTACAAGTAAGAGTTATTTTGTGGTGTAATCCAGAGGGCATATAAGCATTTGTCATTAGCTGACTGCTGGGGCTGATCCACTTTTCTGTGTGCCAGTCCTATTGGAGTCCCAGTCCCGAGTTGGACACTTGTCCTTCCTGAGAGGGAAACTCCTACATTTCAAATACACTGGAGCAGGCTCAGGTGAACATTAACTAAGACAAACTACAGAGAAAACTGCTAACCTGTCAGCAGTGTCAAGCTGATCAGGGACAGTAATCCTCAGAGGGAGAAACTGCCAGCACCTAGGTGCTTGGGTGGTGCAGAAGCTTTTGAGTGAACACTAATCCAGCATGCTTTTCCCTTTCTGTTCTGTGCTGGCTCATGTCTCCATAGCTGTTTGCAGTTTTTGGTATTTATGGGTATTGATTTGTTAAAGGTCAGTTGTCTTTGTAAGATCTGCTTAAGCTGCTGATGGCCTAGAATTACCCTAGCAGGAGGGATGTTGTCAGCCTTCAGCTTTTTTACTAGTGTTACTTCCTTCACTGAAGGCCAGTTCTTTACCGGCTACTGTAATTCTAACAAATACAGGTGGGGAGAAGACTGGAGGGCAGGCTGATGCATGTACCTGTGTTCTTATTGGCAATCCCAAGCAATCTCTGCCTCTTCAGAAGATGCTCTAGTAACACTGGTGCAGCCAGGTGTTGCTGCTGTGGTGGAGCAAGAGCAACTGAAGACTTAAAACAATCTGTAATTAATACCTGTAGCTAACAGTATCCCTCTCTGCTGCAATTCTTTCTAGAGGGTAGAGTTTTCCTCCAAGAAATGTGTAACTCATAGCCCAGGACAGCTCTGTGATGAAGCATCCTGTCTGCTCTAACCACTGGATGGATGTTCTTTCTGCCTTGTATCACTGAGCTGTTCCAGGTGGTCTCATGGTCTCAGCTCCTGGGTACCCAGCACTAGAAAGGCTAGTAGTCAGAGCTCAAATGGCCAAATGGCTAGCTGGTAGGCATAAATGTAGAACTGAAGAGTCAAACTTTTAGGCAGAATTGGACATCCTCCAAGCACTTGTGCTTCAGAGCTGCTCTAAACACCGCTGTAGCTTTCTCACGTTCCATGTACAAGCTCTGCTCTCACCTCCCCAAATACCTGGACTGTTCATTTTGGGTCCCCCTGGCAAGTGCAGGGTTCCCTTACACTGTTTTCTCACTGGTAACAGGAGCATCCATGAGGCTTCCTGCTCTGAACAGCTAGAAGTCTCCTTAAAGTAACCTGAGAAGGCAGCAGGCAAATCAGGATTAAAGCATTACTTGGAGATGAACTTCTGCTTGTTTTCAGAGTAGTGTTTGGGCCCGGAGGTTGACCTGCAGTGGAGTCACCCAGCTCTGAGCCAGGTGCTGGTCTGTAGCATTACAAACAATCGAGGAAGACACTGGGGAGGTGGCTGCTCAAATAGAAGTGCAGGTGGCTGGCTGGGTACAGGTGTCATGCCGTCTTATCCCTTCCTAGGTTTTTATTCTCTTTAGGGAGCAACAGTAAATGCTTTTAAAAGGAGTCTACGGTGGTTTAAGGGAATGCGATGAGAGCTTTGGCTGCTGGAAAGGTTCTCTGGGATAGGTTCTCTAGCCTTATCCAGGCTATGGCAGCTAAACTGATGGAGTTCTTTGGAGAGAACATGTAAAAACTTTGATACACCCAGACAGGTTGGTTCCTACATGAAAAGCTGTCTTATATTCTTCCTTATCCCCTCCTGTGTGGTAGGACTTCTGTCCTGCTGTTGAAAAGGGCTGTTGAAAGGAGTAGTACTTTTCAGTGACTTGGGACATCCATTTCTCTATTCCAAGACTTTTTCCTTTCTATAAGAGCAAAACCATATTTTCTGAGGGGGAAAAAGTCTTGTTACCAGCTTTTGAATCTCCCCATGAGTTTCCTTGGCTTCATTCCTCAAAGGCTTTTGGTGATTTTTGTTGTTGTTGAGGTCAGATGGTATTTAACTAGTGGTTTCTTACTTGTGTGGCCCAGTAACAACTGCCACCCTTGAGATGCTTCCACCTCTGATTTCTTTCAGTCCTAATCTGCTGCAGGAGCAATGAGGTTGGCTGAAGCAGCAGTTCTTTGGGTTGAGGGGTGTTAGTCTGGGTACCTGGGGGACCCTTTGTTTCATAGGGGCCTAAAGAGAGGCTGTTTAAATAGCTCTTACCATGCGTTCCTCATGGGCAGGATTACTGCCAGGCAGGGGAAGGATCTTCAGCTGGGAGGAAAAGCAGGATGCTGTGCTGGAGGTGGGGAGAGATGGGCCCTCCCTGGGAGGGAGAGGGCAGCTCTACCTGCACCTGCCTGTAATTCAGGCTTCGGCAAACTTCATGGCTTTGCCAAGGAGGTAGAAGCAACAGGATACTAGAGATCACGTTGGTGGCAATCACTCAGAACGCTGATTTTGAGTTTGAATTTGGTGACCTAATCTAGAATTATTCACACTTTGGCAGTGAGGGGAATGAAGGCCAGAAGTTGCTCTGGAAGGAATGTGGGGTGTTTAGGAAAGCAGAGGCTGTTTTCCCTTAATGAGTGTCAGTGATGTTGTTTTAGCTGTTTGGAGGGCTCTTCTAAAATGCCCTTTCCCCAAAAGAGAGGAGCAAAATAACACTTTTTTTTTTTTTTTTTTTTACCTTGTCTGGAAAGAATTGCTAGAACAGGGTCTAGAGAACACTTCATCACTCTCAAACGCCTTCTTTTATGCTTCTTTTTAAACACTATTTTTATAATGCTTCCTTTAACTAAACGGGTGGCTTTGTGCAAATGTGATGCGACTCACCGTGTTGAGCTTGGAGTTCCTGCTGCTCCAGGGGCTGGCCGGGGGGGTTTTGCTTTGCCTTCCCCCCCCCCACCGCCGCCTTGGGGCCGAAGTCACGCTGCGACCGCGAGTGGGGAGCGGCGGGGGAAGCTGCTCTTTATTTTTGTACTTTCTCCTTCGAGCCCTTCCTGTGGCCTCTGGGACGCTCCTTTAACGCCGTTTTCCCGTTTGTCCTAATAAAATGGTTTATTTGCACAGCGCTGCCGTCTCCCCGCGCCGGCGGGTCCCGCTGTGGGGAGGGGGAGGGGGGGGTCTGTCTGCGTGAGGGTCTGTGTCCGGCGCGGGGGGCGCGCGGGGAGCGGTGCGCGCGCCCTCTATGCCTTAAAGGGGCGATGCCACCGTAGCAGCGAGAAGCCCTGGCCGGGAAAGCCGCGTCCTCTTTAAGCGGCGGCCGCCTGCAGGGCCCAGCGCACGGCCATGCTGCGGGGCCGCTGGCTGCTGCCCGCCGCCTCCCTGGCGCTGGGCGCGGGGCTGGGGGCGACCCTCACCGCCCGCCGCCGGGCTCGGGCCGATGGGCCGGAGGGGCTGCTGGGCCGCCTGCCCGTGCTGCCCGCCGTGGCGGCGGCCGGTCCGCCGGCGGTCGCGGGCTCGGGGCGGGCCGAGCTGACCAAGTACGGGTTGCCCGGGCTGGCTCAGCTGCGGAGCCGCGAATCCTACGTGCTGTGCTACGACCCCCGGAGCCGCAGCGCGCTCTGGGTCATCGAGCAGCTCAACCGAGAGACCCTCGGCGGCACCTCCGACCGCGCCGCCTGCGACTTCCAGGAGGACGACTCGGTGCACGAATACCACCGCGCCACCAACGCCGACTACCGCGGCAGCGGCTTCGACCGCGGGCACCTGGCCGCCGCCGCCAACCACAAATGGAGCCAGAAAGCCATGCGGGACACCTTCTACCTCAGCAACATCGCCCCGCAGGTAGGACCCGCCGTGGGTACCGGCTCCCCGCACCCCCCCCACTCCCCGCGGGGAGAGTCGGGTGGAGGTGGGGGGCCGGAGCTGCCCGTGTTCAAGGGTAGACGCTGCTCCCTGCTGGGAACCACCTCGGAGCGTCTTCGGCTCTTCCGTGGGTTTGTCCCCGGAGTGATTCAGGCAGAGAAAGGCCGGAGTCACTCGTGGCGTGGGGAGGGGGAGCAATAGTTACTGATAAACTGAACAACAAGCGGTCCTGCAAACGCCGGGAGAGACCCCGGTCAGTGCGGCTCGTTGCAGGAGCAAAAGTGAAACCGGCGGACAGATGCTTGTAAAAATCATGGTCTGAGGCAAGTGGGTTCTGTTCCTGGGTGTGCAAACCAGAACCTCGCCGTACGCAGTGTCCAGAGCAGAGGTGATAGTGGAGATCTCTTCAGGGAAGTGCCCAGGACACTCTGAGGCATGTTACAGAAAAGGCGGGTTCCTCTCAACAGTGAGGAAATTCCCCACTGAGGGACTTGGCTGCCCGTGTCGCCCTGGTTATGTTTCTAGGATCCTCACTTAAACCAGAATGCCTGGAATAACCTTGAGAAGTACAGCAGGAGCTTGGCAAGGAACAACAAGAACGTCTATGTCTGCACAGGACCCCTTTACCTGCCCAGGTAAATGCGACGGCCGCGTTGGGACCACACTTAAAAGGTGGGTTGTGCTGGGAAAGGAAAGCAGACTGGGGGTGCAGCCTCCCAGCTGCTCCCAAACGGAGTGAGCTGTTAAGGCCCCGGACTGCAGCTGAGACCAGCTGTGCGCAGAGGTTCTGTGGAGAGCTACTTTTGTGGGATTAGTTTGTGTATTTCCCATTCAGTTAATTATTTTGTGAGTAAGGGTGGGTTTCCTGAGCTACAATATAAGCAAGTCACTTTTGTTTGCAGGCCTTAAGACTCCAGTAGACTAGTAGTAGGTTACTAGATTATTAGATTAACAATTTAGACTGCAGACGCCTTCCCTGCAGAATAAAGTTTCTAGGTTTTATTTCATGGACTATTTTTCCACTTAAGAGCACGACTTTATTTGCAAAGATCTTCAAGTAGCACTAAAGAGCAGCTGTCTCATGTTGAAAAATCCCTTCAGCACAAGACAGACAGCAGGGAAGGGATTTGAGGGGAGTGGATTGAATGTACAGGCCTCACCACATCACATAGCCTCCATTTCAGAAATGCTTTTACACCCCTGCTGTAGAAGTAGGGCTGCTCCCAGCCACACTGTGGGGTGGGGGCTCACTTAGGGGGGGTGGTGGAGGGCTGAGGGGGCAGATGGGGCACCAGACTAGGAGGTAACATGGGATGTTGCTGTTGGTGCAGGATGGAAGCTGATGGGAAGATGTACGTCAAGTACCAGGTGATTGGGAAGAACAACGTGGCCGTCCCCACCCATTTCTTCAAGGTGCTCATCCTGGAAAAGGAGGGCGGGGAGATTGAGTTGCGCTCGTATGTGATGCCCAACAGTCCTGTGGATGAGAAAATTCCCCTGGAACGGTTCCTGGTTCCCATCGAGAGCATTGAGCGAGCCTCAGGGCTCCTCTTTGTCCCAAACATCTTAAAGAGAACAAGTAACTTGAAAGCCATCACAGCTGGAAAAAAGCCTTGAACCCCAGTTTAAATCCAGGTGTCCCCTGGGAAAGGACTGACAGCAGTTGTCTGCAGAATAGTAGTTCTTTGTGCAATTTTAAATGTGGGAGATCAGAATCAAACTAATTCTTCTCTTTACCCCTCCCCTTGTTTTGTGCAGCAGTAAAACAGACACACACACGCATGCACGCACGTAGCAGGCTCAAGGGCAGGTCCTGGAGAAGGCTCCCAGGCATTTGATTTGACATTGTAGCAGGTCTCTAGAATTTGCCCCTAATCTGTAGCACAAAGCATATTCCTGTAATTGCTCCATTTGAGTTGTGTGTGGCTCCTTAAGACACAAAAGGAAGTTACCTGATTTCTGCTACTTAGCAGGGAAGGACAGGAGCAAGATGGGTAATGGGTGCAGGGGGAGGAGAGGTTCCTGCCTTTCTGTGGCCAAAGGATTGTATGATTGTTTTCTTTCAGAAGATGATTTTAGCAGTAAAGCTTTGAACACTTACAGTATTGTTTATCTGGTTTTACCAAAGCTCTGAATGTCTCAGCAGGGGGGGGAGGACAGAGCCAACTTTTCCAGCTGCTTTCCTGTTTGAGCTCACTGTAGGCAAAGCCCAAGGAACCACAGATGGAGCCAAACTGTAACAAGCTTTGCTGAGGCCCAGCTGAAGCTCCAGCCGTTCCTGCTGTTGGGAAGGATGAAGCTTTGGAGTTGAAGCAGGGGCTGGGGGAAGTCAGGCTGAGACAGGAACAGCTTCTTGGCATAAGGATTAAGTCTTAAATGTCAGAGTGCAGGATCTCTGGCCACTGAGTGCCCACCCTCTACACCAAGACACTTGCACGTGGACTTCAAGGCAGCTGAGGTTCCATACTGCTTTATTCCCCACCCCAGATATCTGAATTGCTGAGAGCCAGGCTGCTGCCAGCCTCGTCCCAGCTGCTGAGGCAGAGACCATCCCTTGGCTGGGCTGTGCAAGCAGGACGGCGCAGACTTGCTGCTCCCAACAGCAGGCAGACACTTGGTCAAGCAGCAGTGCCAGCTTCAGTCATGCTGTGTCTCAGCCCCACCAGGCTCTTGGAGGGATTTGCCCAGCACCCCGCGTTTGAACAGCCGCTTCCCCGAGGCAGTCCTCGGCTGAGAGCAAGGTCAGTGGTTTTCCTTCCCTCAGCTGTCGTTGGGTGTCTTCACAGCCTGATCAATGTGGGGTCTCAGTGCAGACAGAGAGATCAGCAGCGCTTCCTGGAACAGACCCAGGCAGCAGTCAGAACTGCTGCTCCCTGGGGAGCACCAGGCAAGCCAGCTGCTCTTTGCCGAGGTGTCACCATGGGGAGTGACACGTATGTGCCACTGCCAGCAGCAGAAACTCAGCGCTGCTCTGTGCACAGGTGTCACGCCCCATCAGCCACCTGCCCTACCTCTGTCCGGATGGTTCTGCTGCCTTGGCTGGGACAAGTATTCAGGTAGAAGTCAAACAGGACACTGGGGTCTGTGACCTCCAGGTTTGGGTCCACGTCGATCCCAGCTTCCAAGCCCTCAAGACCTCCAAACACAACAAGGGCATGCCTGGGGGAGAGCACAGAGACAGGGTGAGAGAGGAGACTGGCTCTTACCGCTGGAGCAAGGCAGATGCTACAGGCTTTACAGAGAGCTGCTCACATGCCTTGAACCTTCAAAATGGATTAAGAATTGCCTTCACATAAACAGTTCTCTTGATGTCCAAGAAGCAGACCCATTTCTTTTAGTCAAGTACCTGGGTCTTTGTTCAAGCTCCTCTATGCTCCTGAAGCAGGGAGCTGTGTCCCTTGCTGACAATGCCCAGTGCAGCTGTCTCCCTAACAGACCCCCCCGGCACTTGGCTAGTGGGACAGTCCCTGCCACCAGCTGAATTGGGGAGGACCCACTCCAGAGAGCCAGGAAAGGAACTGGCATTGTCCTGGGGTACTTCCCCCAGCTTGTGATGCAGAGGAATGTGCCTTGGTGTAAAAGGGACCAGCACAGGAGGCAGCTTGCAGACAAGTCTTGCGCTTGTATCTAGGGGCATCCCTCCTTGGAAGAACACTGAGGCCACGGTGCAGCTCTTCTGCCTGCACCAGATCTCACTAGGGACTCTGAGTGGGGCCAAGCAAGTGGGACACAAACCTGAAGGAGGGGAGGGTGGCCTCATCCACAGAGCTGCCCCGCTCCGAGGTCCCAATAGAGAGATCGTAGCCTTCCTTGAATGGGCACTCTGAAAAGACAGCACCTGGGAAACAAACACAATACGGGGTTATTTATGTGGTGTCCTCACTGCATACCTGGACAGGCTTAAGTACTCCACAGGTGAGTGGTGGCAGCAGAAGGAATTGCTTTTCAGTGCCACTAGTGCATCAGGAGACAGAAGACTCCTTTTTCCTACAGAACTCCCTTGCTGCAGGAGTCTCTGGCACCCTTCTCAACTGCAGCAGCTTTTCCTCAATGCTCAAAAAGGTGCCAGGAGCCATTCTTTGACTAATGGCTTACAATTTTCCTAGGAGGGCCAATCAATCAGAAGACAAGGGAAGGATTTTGCAGGGCTCTTGAGCTCAAATGTCACTTCTGGCTTTGAAGTGAATGAGCAGGAGGTTAGTTACCATGGAGATGGAGAGCACCAACTCTTGTCTCCTGCTGCACCTGGGCAAAATGGTGAGTGGAGGTACAGGGCAGAGTACCGGTGAATGACAAGGGTGATTCACACCCCAAGCTTTAACCCTTAAATTTGATTGCCACGTGGCTGCTAGGTGTGTGTGTAAGCTGCCTTTGAGACAAAACAGATTTCCAAGACAGAGATGTTACTGTGTGCTGCAGACGTGCAGCCAGTAGGCCTGAAATTGGTGTGGAAGCCAGGCAGACATGGCAGAGAGCAGAGAACCCCCGCAAATACCTACTCAAGCAGGAGGCAAGGCGGACGCTGTAACCCCAGTACAAGCCCGACACCATCCGAGGGTGCTGTGAAGACACCACGGTGCCTTTCCGCACTTTAGCTTCTGAAAGGGAAGCAAATAGATTAGCCCCTGTGATATCCTAGTGAGAGCTGGGTTTGACCAGCCACATACAGCACTTTCTCCCAGGGTAGGGCACTGACTTGGAGTACAACCAAGAGCTGCCCTTTCGAGCACATTCTGGAAAGCACATGGGTATGTTTGGGCTGTTTATTATTGGTCAAAGAGTTGATAGTTCTTTCCAGTTAAGCAGGGGAGGTATGGTAAGGGTGTTATTAAAATTGTGTGTGGAGTGAAGGGAACATGCAGAGCTTTTGGGTACCTTCAGATATTAGTAATCTGAAGGCTGCTGTGCAGAAGGACCAGCTCCTGCAGGACTGAAGTTTACAGATGCTAATGGAGCAGTGGATTACCTGGCTTCTGGGGTTCTTCCAGGCGCACAGTGACTCGCAGACCGGGGTTCAGCTGTCTGTCAATCTGCACCTCCTGCAGTGAGTCACGATCAGCATCAAACATTCTGAAAGTACTGGGGAAGGTGGGGAAAGAAGGGAACCCTCTGAGGAAGTGGGGATCTGTTCTGGCCTGGAGCTGGAATTGAGGAGCTCTGCAATCTGGGCCTGCGTGGTATGTGCAGTGCAGAGCGGGCTCAGGGTGGCTGGGTCAGCAGTCTGAGACTTTGCTGCTCAAAGGTTCAACTCCAGCAGTGAAGCAGTGGTGTGCAAGAATGAGCAGACCCACCAAGACTCAGGAAGCCTCAAACATTAACAAGCCAGAAGGGACAAGATAGCAACAGCATTAAACCCTATGCCAACCCACTGTGGCCTTCAGAAACCCAGCACTACCCACCCTGCCTGCTTCACATCTGCCAGAGACGGGGGAGATTTTTTTAGGATCTGTGGATTACAGATAGACATACCTTCCTCATCCCGCAGTTAACAAAAGACCCTTTGCCTGGCTTAGTTGGCCGGTCCAACACGATGCCTTCTCGGTACTTTGAATCCTCATCCACCCGCATGTGGTGGGGGCTGTCCAGGGGGTTGAGGAGCCCTAGAACAGCACGAATGAAAGCAACCGCTAAGGAGAAGACACAAACTGTGGGAACAGAGGTGTAAATACAACTGCTCTGCTGCGCCCCCCCCCCGGTCCAGCATACCACAGCACCGCACGTCACCTGCATTCGTTACTAAATTCTGTGCATTCCATACAAAAGCCAGAGCTCAGGAAGGGAGAGCAAACAGCTTGAGACAGAGACAGCTGACTCTTTACCTGCAAACTGCAGATCCTCATGTTTTGGAAAAAAGGATTTCCTCAAGTACCTGTTAGCAGAGAAGGTTCAAATGTGCAAACAGTTATTTCTGCTTAGCTCCCTCAAGTCCCTGATCTATCTCTAATGTATCACGCAGGTTGTATCCTGCATTCACTACTCTTCTTTTAGTTAAACTTCTGAACCAGACATGAAACAATTAAATCCTATGTTCCCGCATAATTATGCAATATAAACAGATCCTGGCTCCTGCTCCCATAGCCTCTAGCATGAGATACCCATGGTAGTCAGTTCTGACGCAAATGTGATGCACAGTCTGGCCATGATGGACTTACTGAGGGCACTCCAGGTACTGCAGGATCCGAGCCAGCTGCACACAAGCCTTGCCTCTCCTCCCAATTCCTTCAAAGTCCCCCTCCACGGTCCTGAAAGAGAGCAGCCTGTGAACTTGGCATGAAACTGCACAGCCCCACATGGCCAGGCTTCCAGAAGACCAAGCCTTGCTCCTTGATGTGAGAGCAGCAGCATGCCCCCCTCCATTCCCAAGAAATAAATGAACCACCTTGTAAAAGGCTTACTCCAGAAGCAGAGACTGCTCACAGGTCATATTTAGAACTCTGTAAGCCAAATACCTGTTAAAGTTTTTTGGTTTTATAATCTTTGTGTATTGACACAACCTGGCAGTTGGATGCTACAGGATTGCATGGCTTGGCCAGTTAACTCAGATGCAGGATCAGGAATTTGTCTTGCATAAGGCCATAGGCACACCTCATCCCTCCACAGCAAGACTTAAGAGTATAGGAGAATTTGAATTCCTGCTGCTTTGTCATCCCCACGCTGGGATAAAGGATCCTAGTTGCCAGGTAAGTTAAGGCAACATCTCTGTACAGTGGTACAGGGGTCCCTGTAATCCTGGCATTTGAAAGAGGTTCAGACTTTTGTTTGAAGTACACACAGTTCTTTGCTGGTCTTAGTTCAATAAATGATTGAAGAAACAGCAGAGAGGAAACGCTTTCTGCAGAACAAGATGGCTCCTCCTTACTTTACATCTTCTCCATGCTCATCAAACACCACGATCTCATCCACGCAGAAGATGGCACATGCCCGAGCAATCTGTCCGGCAAGGTACGTCCGCAGCTCCAGCGACTGGGCGTTGTTCAAGATTGAGCCTGGCAGGGCTACGCTCAGCGTGTAGTGACGCCCTGGGGAACAGAGTGCGATCAGAAAAGAGCCACAGTGTCACTGCTGCACGTGCAGTGTTTTATCTACTACTTCAGGTGCGGTTGTGGTGGGGGAAGAAAAGCAACTTCTGTTTCTTAATCTCAGGTTTTCTTTTAAGAAAGGTCTTGCACGCAGTGCTTGCTGCGTTGTGTTCCTGCCCATTTACACAAGTGGATTGATCTATATCAGACTTACGAAGCTGAGCATCACCTTTCCTATCAATATGTAAAACTGACTGACTTTTATGACCAAGTTCTCCCAACTCTTTCATGCAGACCTCCCCATCAGGTCACAGCAGCATCACCTTTGTCCTCCTGCTCCTTCTGCTCCTCCTGCTTCTCGGCTTCTTTTTCTGCCAGCTCCCGCATCCGCTGTTTGTCTAGTTTCTTCAGCAGCTTCATTTCCTTCCATTTTTTCTTCTCCGCTTTCCCTGGAAGGGAGAGCAGCACCTCGCTTTAAACAACGAGCCGTGAGCGCTCAGGGCAGGGCGGCGCAAGGGCCAGGCCGCCACGACGAGGGACCCCCGCGGCCCGGTTCGCAGGCCCATCCCCGGCCTTACTCTCCTGTTTCCAGCGCCGCCAGTCCACCTTCCTCTCCTCAACCTGCGGGAGACAGCGACCGTTACCGCCGGGCTTCCCCAGAGGGGCCGCGCGCGACAATCGGGACAGCCCCCTCGCCCCCGTACCCCCTTGGGCCGCTTTGCCGCTCCGCTGTCCGCCATCTTCTGCCCGCGCTGCCCGGCCACGCCCCTCAGCGGTGGTGATTGGCCGGAAGCCTGCGTCACGTGAGCCAAGGGCCAAGCGGCGGGGGGCGGTGTTTAAGTCGCCGGCGCGGGATGTGAAGCTAAGCAGGGTCGGTCTCGTTCTGCGGGAGGATGGGTGACCTCAGAGGCACCGTGGGAGGAGGGCGCGAGTGGGAAACTGGGGGTGGCCGCGGGGGTGTAAAAATCTGGACACCAGCGTCTGGGCGTCTTTGCACGAGCACTTGCGTGCGTGGTGGAGGATGGGGAGATACACCCTGCCCCTTGCGGGGTGTGTCGTGGCCTAAAGCAAGAGCCCACACCTGTGGAGGAGATGCTGCAAATAATCTTGATGTTAATAACCTACTCTCAAGGTCGTTTATCTGTTTCGGTGATTGCAGCTCTTCTGGCACTTGGCACATATGTGGGTGCAAAAGGGTCTTCAGCAGCACCCTCACCCGCTCAGGCTATGCAGGCAGGTGAGATGGGGTGCATCTCCCATGGGCGAAGGCAGGAGGTGGGGGTTCACCCCCCTCCCTCCCGCGGATGGGTGCAGCTCTGGCTCCAAGGGGATCGGTACCATCAGATGCAGCCCAACACAGAAAACCTGCAGAGTCACGACCTGCCAGTCTGGGTGGGACAAGCAGCCACCACCATGGGACGCAACACAGATGTTGCACAGCTGACGGCAGCTCTCCAGGGGAGCTGTGTCAGCCCTATAGTCATTACAGAGACATTTACCCTTCAATAATTGCAGTAATTTATCTTTAATAATCTAACTGCCACAAATACTTATTGCACAGTCTGTTGCACATAACTCCTGCGTGATTGATGATGCTGGTTTACATTCTTATCCAGGTTAAAATCGAGAATGTTGCAAGAATTACCTTTCAAAATGCTGCTCACATTACCCCACCAGCGCGGTGGGTGGGAGGTTGCGGGGGCCACCAGCAGCAGGAGCAGCCTGCGGCCACTGTGCCCATCCTCCCCGGCCACTGCGTGCACTGGCCAAAGGCCCGAAGGTTTTGCTTTGCAGCCTGGGCGATGCTGCCAAGCCCTGACAAAGTGCCAGGGATAGTTTGGGGTGTGCACAGGGAAGGTTTGGCAATAGCTGGGCTATTTAGGAAAGCCTGTTTCCTCGGGGAAACCAGTTATCAATTTTGAGGTCACCTTCCAGAGATGCACATAAAAGAAACCAGTAAGAAAATTGTTAATTATGGGAAACAGCATTTCACTGGGTTAATAATTTTCAGGATTAAAGGAATCAACCTTCTGACTGCACAGTCCTGTGGAGAATGCGGATGCTGGTGAAAATGCTGTCCTGTGCCCTGGGGTATGTGAGTGGAGATGTGCAGCAAGACAAGCCACAGTGAACTCCCAGCATAGCCTTAAAGGTAGGTCCTGAAACACCTTTTCAGAATTTGATGGTGAAAAAGACCCTGGGAGCCATTTGTACCTTGTGTTTTGATGGACGCATCCCAGAACTGATTAGTAAAGTCTTTAAACATAGTAAGAAGAAATATCAAATACTGACAGTGCATGCGAAGACTCACTTTTTGCAAGGAACAGTGCAATTGTTTCACAGTAACAGGAAGTGTCCCCCAGATCTTGGGCCTGGCAAACCTCTTAACCATTTGTTTGACAGAAAATGTGGTTGAAAGAACAAAAATAAGGACATATCAAAGTTTGTAGCCAAGCAAAGGAAGAGGAGAAAGAGCGGTTGTGGCAGGTGAGGACCGAGGAGAGTGTGGTTTTCTCTCCAGTATGCTCAGGGACTGGTTTTCTCCTGTTTCCATTTTTGCAATATGTCATTTGCTGCCTTCAGAGTGGCTTCCTCCTAAACAAATACCGCAGGTTCAGTCAATGGCTTCCAGTCAAATCCCCTTTCCCCTCACTGCAGTCATCATTTATATAAAAATCCCATTGTCATTCTAGAACACTGCAAATGCCCCGTGTTTGGTATGAGACAAGCACAGCACCACTGGGGCAGGCACAGCACTGCTGAACACCCAGAAGACTCCCTGGCTTGACCAAGGGATGTGGGATGCTGAAGGGACAAAGCTTAGGATGGCACCAGCACATCTCCTGCCCCCGGCTCGGCTCACACATCTGCAGGAGGGGGTTGAACCATCTGTGGTGCCGTGCTCAGGCTCTAATGCCCAAGGCACTCTGTGTTTCTTGGCATTTATCTGATAAAACTGGCCCTGATTATTATTCCCAACCTTGCCTGCCTTTGTGCTGCCACGTATCTCACCTTTGCGAAGCAGAACCGGATGAAATGGTTGTAGTTGTTCTTGTGGGCCCCACAGTAGAAAGCAGAGAGCGGGATGGCAGCAAGTCCCTGGGAAGGGGAAACATGTGGTGCTGAGGTTACTCTTTCTGGGCTGGTGTAAAGCCATCCACTTATTACTTGCAAGTCTCACAGATGGGCTTGTAGCTGCCCTTGGTGCCCTGTCTGCTCACTCTGCTTGAGTTCAGGCTGCCAGAGTTGAGGCCAGCCACTGACAGACACCCCAGGCACCCCCCGGGTGAGCTGCTAGACCTGGCAGTGGTGGTGTGTGTGCTGCTGGCTCCCATGAGCACAGCCAACAGGGAGGGCACCAACCCACCCAGGCCAACGTGGCAGAAAGGGCATTTACCTTGTTCTTGACCATCCACTTTGCAAATCTGGAGTCGTAGGGCTCATCGGAGTCAGGGACATCAGGGACGTCGGATTCTGCAGGAGAAGCACAGCAGCACGGAGATGGGTCCTGCTGCTGTGTGCCTCAGCCAAGCCCCAAACCCACGGCCTCTGGGAGTTTGGATGGGAAACGCACTATTGTCCATCCCTGCTTTGGTGGTGGTTTATGCAGGATCCTGTCCCTGCTAGTGGTACCACGCTGGGCTGGGCCCCCATACTCAGCCTTGCCTGAGCAAAGCCACAGCTGCACGACTCACTGAACTTGGAGATGTCTGCCACCAAGAAGTAGGTGCCCTCAGGGATGATGGGTTTCATCCCCACAGCATCCAGGCTCTGGACCAGCCAGTCTCTCTTCTGCTGCAGCGCCTTGGGCAGTTGGACGAAATAGCTTTCTGGTTTCCCATAGAGTTCGAGCTCCCTCTGGAAACCCTCAGCCACAGCCTCCTGCGAGGAGAGAGGAACATGGTGGGAGGACGGTCAAGGCTTGCTTGAGAACTGGAGTCTTTGCTCTGATGCAATTCACAGGTGATTAGGGAGCAGGGGGGTGATTTCTCATTGCACCAAGCCAAGCTGCCTGCCTCCAGCCCCTGGAAAAGGCCTCTTGGATTTTTCAGTGCAAAATAAGGAATATACCCCAGACAGGCTGTACTCTCCCCTTCCTCCCAGGCATGGAGTGACTGCAGGGATAGGGGAAGGAATGTCTCCAGGGCACCACACATCACCCTGTCTGTGTGTCGCAGGTCAGCCATAGGCAGAAGGACCCCTTCTTGCCCCTGCTTCAGGGGTTTGGGAATTGCAGGGAGCCGCCTTACCTGGGCAACTGTGGCACAGTGGTACACTGAGTTTTGGTGCACAGTACGGAGGTGTTGCAGCAGCCGGTTGGGTCCCACGGTCCAGCCCACCTGCAGCCAAGAGAGGAGGAAGAAGGTGATAAGTCTCTGGGTACCTGCATGCGCTCCCCTTTGTCTGCCTGTGCTGGCTTCATTGTGTTTTCCAGACAGGGCTAGCATAAAGCAGCTTTGGTACTTTCAGACCCTGAGGCTCAAAGCTGAGTGTGTGGCAGTAGTGTCCCCAGTGCCGTGCTATGCAATTGGACCCACACCTTGGAGCAAAGGAATGGGGAGACAACGAAGTGCTGCACGAGGGAATTCACCTTCCATCCAGTGGCACTGAAGGTTTTCCCAGCACTCCCGATGATCACCGTGCGGTCCCACATCCCTTGCAAGCTGGCTGGCAATGAAACGAGAGAGAAACACCAATGGCAGAGCTCGGCGTGCTCACTTCTGGGCTGCATTAATGACAAGGTGGGAGCTCTTTTCCCACCATAACCTGTGGTAGCCTCTTGTGTTCACAGCACATCTTTCAGCTGGATGAGCCTCAAAGCTCATCCCAAGCAGGCAGCCAGGTTTCTCAGGAGCATCTCTTTGTAAGTGTTTTCATATGCATGTACCCAGCCCCAGGGGCTCCCAGAGGTGCCAAGCACCATCATCCTGCAACAAGGTGATTGCATGTTACTGCAAGGGGAAGAACAGGCCTCTGAAATTATGTTGAAATGGATGTCCCCAAACTAGAGATACACAGAAAACTGTGGTGTTACAAAGCATGGGGAAAAAAAAATCCAGTTTATCTGGAGCCAAAGGGCTCTTAGCCCTGGATCTCACACTGGGAAGCCAACTGTTTCCTCTGACTGGCTCTGGAAGTCAGGGCTCCAGTTTAAGACCTGGTTTGGAGTCTTCTGAGACTGAAATGCAGCAAAATACCTCTGATGGGGATACATGCCTGGTAGAGCTGTGCATGTATGCAGTCCATGTAATTGCCAGAGGACAAGTTAAATCACCAGTTCCTTCCCTGAAGATGCTGTACCCAGAGAATACACCCAGGCTCAGCCAAGCCATTCTCCATACCAATGCGGATGTGTTCCTTCCCGTCATAGACCAGCCACTCATACACTTCATCACTGATGCACAGGACATCGTGCTTCACGCACAGGTCTGCGATGAGCTCCAGCTCCCCTCGGCTGAATACCTGCAGGAGGCAGGGAGTGAAGCAGAGATGCAGCAGGAGCATTTCTGAGCCCCTGCCTCTCCCTGCCTCTCTGCAAAGACTGCATGCCCTGCTTGCACCATCTCCCAAGCCAGAGTGGGCAGGAGCTGGCTGCAATTGTCTAACAGGGCAAAGCCACTGGTGGCACAGAACACCAGGCTTAAAAAACACCAGAAGAGTGAGTGCAGTGCGTGGTGCTGCCACAACACCCATTTCCCTTGTGCACAAGGAAGGTCAAGTTGCTGCTACACTGCAAATGTGGCTGGGTGAGCTGCAGCACCCCAGCTGCTTTCCGGGCCAGCCACAGCAAGGCCAGAGACATTACCTTGCCCAGAGGGTTGTTGGGTGAGTTCAGGACGATGGCTTTTGTCCGTTCACTGAATTTAGAAGCCAGTTCAGCTGGGTCCAGCTGCCAATCTGCACTAGACATCAATTTTCCATCTTTTGGAGCTTTCTAGAGAGAACAGAGAGGAACCTCAGCTTACTTTGCTACCTCTATACTTTGCTTACCACTCACTTCTTCGCTCACTTTGCTAAGACTCCTCCCTCAACAGCTTTGCTCCGACCCACTCACCGGTCTCAGTGGGACAAACACGGGCATCCCACCAGCCATTTTCACCATCGGCTCATAGCAGTCAAAGAAGGGCTCAATGATTATCACCTGGAAGGAAGGGATATGTCAGCACCCTCCTGGCCTTGCTCAGACCTTCTCTGGCGGGTGCAGAGAGCAATGGGAGGGAGAGAAAATTGTAATCCCCGAATTACTGTAATGGAGAACCTGCATTGTCAGTGGGCAGTGATGGAAGAATAACATCACTTCAGGGCAAAAGGGTTATTTTGTCTTATGCAGAAATGAGACAGTGTCTGGTAGCAGAGATTTTTTTCCTTTGGAAGCTCAAATACTGGAGAATGGGGATAAAACCTTTTCTGCTTAGCAAAAGGACTATGAAAACCTGCTCCTCGCAGATCCACAGCAAAGAGCCCTGTCAGAGGAAGGCTGCCTATGCAACAAGCCCAAATCTTATGTTACCTCATCGCCTTCATCAACAAAAGCCTGGAAGCAGCAGAAAAGAGCCTGGTATGCCCCCACAGTCACCATCACATTGGTCATAGGATCCAAGTCTCGTCCAAGCAGCTTCCCAAAAAACTGGGCTAGGATCTTCACCAGAGGCAGGTGGCCCTGTGGGGTGAGGAAGGGTGGGAATTGGGTTGCAGAAGTGTCCTAAGACATGGATGAGTCATTGGAAGGGGTCTGGGTAGCCAAGTGCCCTGTGACTGAGTGTACAGGGCATCTTCCAGCCCTGCTGCTTCAAACAAACACCCTGGTAAAGCAGGGTGTTATAGCCCTGGGCACAGGGTGCATGGGCCGGTGCATGTTTTGCCTCATGTGGCTTGCCCTGTTTATTGCTGCCTGAAGAACCCTGAAGCAGCCAAGGCTAATGGGGAGTGAGGGGGGTATTCCCGAGGAGGGGAGGATCTGTTCACGCACAAAGGCACGGGTGTACTGGTGCAGCATGTGGTTCTCCCCACTGAGGGCTCTCATAAATGCTTCCTTCAGAAAGTCTGGTGGAGGGAAGTCAGGGAAGCCCTGGCCCAGGTTCACCGTGGAGTAGGTGGCAGCCAGTTTTACAAACTCCACCCTGGAGAGATGAAAGAGAGAAAGACAAGCATTTACAGAGGGTCCAGGCAGCACGCTGGCGCTGGCTCTGCATCCCTTTGAAACTGAGTGAAGTTGGTGTCCTCCCTGCAGAGCCATCCCACTGCTCACAGGTGGACAGGAGCAAGCATAAGGCATTTCAGACCTTTTTCAATTAAACTGAAGATGATGCACTATTGCACTGGGGGGGTGGTTTTAATTTGAAGGAAACAGCCATTGTGCTGTCTAGGTGTGTGGTCGCACACTGCTTCTGATCAGATCACACAGAGCACAAGAGGACTTTGAGGTTTCTGAGCTCCAAGTTCTGCAAAATTTAGCAACTAGATACTGTGAAGACCTCTGCAGAGGGAGGCAGGCTGAACTCAGCACTTGTCTCAAACAGAAGCCAGCTCATCGGCAGTTTGTAGCTTGAAACCAAGCACAGCAGGGCTTTGGGGAAAGCCCATTTAAATCTATTCTTCAAGCATCCAGCTTTCCCAATGCCACACTGTGCCTGGCAGGCTGGGAATGGCATTTGCACCACCCCTTCACCTGCCTCCCTGCTTGCAGTGCCCTAGGGTGGGCTTGAAAGAGATGCCAGGCTGCAGCCAGGGTGCTGCAACCACTTGTTTCAGATTTGTGTGCTGCTGGGATGATTCGGGTGGGTGGGTCGGATGGAGTGCAATGCACAAGGTGTTCCCGCCTGCCTTCCCGCAGGATGGTGTGGGACACCTGATACGGCATTAAGTGTGAGCAGCAGGTACAGAACTGAGGCAGGGTAAAGTCTCCTGGGACAAAGTTGCCCTGATGTGCTTCCTGAACAAATGCAAAGCAGCCAAGGGAGACTGCTGCTCTGTGCTGTGTGGCTGTGGCAGTTTCTGTCTGGTGTTAGGCTGCCTGAAACCACATCTACCACCAGGGTAAACCAGATACTCTCTTAACTCACCAGATATTCTTATCTATTCCCTCCAGCCTCTGAGCTTGCACTGGCCTTGACATTTTTGCCTGCAGAGAGAGAAAGAAAGTGAATTTTCAGCTTTTACTGATGGCAATGGGGCCACGTGCAAAGGGGACATGGTCTCCTTTGGTATGTTTTTCCCAGCAGAAAGTGCGCCCTTTATAATCGCTTCATGGGTTGTTGTGGATCAACCTTAGAGCAGTAACACTGTTGCGGTGGTTTCTGGAAAAAGCTTCACATACTTTTTATGAAAGATTGAGCAGATGAGAGCTGGCAGAGGAGGATGTTTCATTTACAAGTTTCAACAAGAATTGAGACAACAGATGAACAAAGGCAGGTGTTTACTCACCGGGGAGCTGGCAATGCCTTAAATCTAATTTTCAGTTGGAGTAAATCATGGGGTCAAATGAGCTCAGCCAAGCTGTAACAGCCAGGTTGATGACCCTAGACCTTAGGCTTTTGCCTTCCATAACATCTCTTGTTCTCCATCAGAAAGACCTTGTTCTCTACAGGACAGAAAATCTCCCCTTTTTCTAGAAGCATAAACTTTTTTACTCCACATTGTACTACAGGGTACCAGAACTATTTACTCTGTTGTCCTGCTGGAGTGCTTGGTGAAGGGAGTTGCTCTAGATCCTAAATAATATGCCAGTTTTTGCACCTAAAGTTCATGGCAAAACCAGGCAGCAACTGGGCACAGGCAAGAGGAGATCACAGCACACAGGTCAGTCTGATGTACACAGACACCAAGGTGCCATTCGCCTGACTGGTACCTAATTTCCTCGTGCATCATGGCTGGGTGGGGTGGGAAGAAGGACAGTAGGAAACATTGAGAACAAAATCCTCCTTCCAGTTGGGTAAGCACAGTGGGAGAAAGTCAGATGTGCTTGATGGGGAATTTATCACGAGGATGATGAAAAGCAGCAGAGGTAGAATTTAATAACTCAACAGCACAGGGAAAAAGTAACCAGACAGCAAAGGGACTGGAAACCAGAGACAAACAGTGCTCAGTGCACCAAGAAAAGCCAGCATGGGGATGCAAGGAGGGCGTCGCTGAAGCAACGAGCCAAGAAAACAATCATCACCTCAGCAAATAAAATACATTTGAACAGGGACGAGGAGGACATGTGAAAGCAGCCAAGATGTGAAATATAGAGCTGGGATGTGAGGGAAGAGGGTCTGTGCACTGTGTGTGGGGATAGAGGTGGGGATACCAGGTCAGACCCCCTCCCCATGCTCAGCTGCAGTAGTAATTCCCCACTTACCTACTCACCTCTGCCGTTCCCAGAGGGCTGCACCAGAATTTGAAAAATGCCCCAATGATATTTTGTGTTGAGGTCTTTAGATTTTTATACGGCTTCAGTCCTCACAAGGGATCTTTGCAAATAACTTGCTGAGGAGCCCTGTGTTTCAGAGGGCACCAGGTGGACTCTGCGCTCCCCCTTGGTGCCAGGCAGGTAGCCAAGGGCGAGCAGGAGTCGCGGCCTCTCTGGGTCTAGGGAATCCCCATTCCTTTCTCCCACCCCCCCTGTTTTGCTCTTTCTGCACAAGTTCATGGATATTACAGTCATTAGGATGCAGTGCCTGAGTTGATTTTGGTGGGAGTAATAGGATTCATGGCTTGGGAAGTAAAATATAGCTAGAGGTGAAACATTAACAGCCCCAGCACTGTTTTCTTGCAGTGGAGCTTTCTGCTGGCCACAGTTCAGAGAATTTGACAGTATCAGCAAGTGTGATGGGGGTCAGTGGGAAGAAGGTGCTTTAAGCCTAGAAATTCCCAGTTCTGAGGAAAGGCCTTGTCTGCTTCAGCCCTTTCAGGAAGGGAAATGACAAATGCTTTCTTCTTATGACATTCCCCTGGCCCTGCCATCCCCAGCCTGCATGATGCTGCCATGGGCCCATCAGGCTGGAGAACAACACGGGCTTGGGGCCATGCAGCCCCCAAATCTGTTTCAGCCTGTTCTGCTCCCCAAACCAAATGATGTGTTTGTCCAGTTGCAATTTGCCTGGCAGCCAGACAGGATAGCTGAGTACAAATGTAAAAGACTTAGTGGCCACAACCTTCCGCCACTGATTGCCTGCTGCATGTGGCTTCCTTGCTCTGCATGTTTGTATCTCCAAGAGGAATGCTGATATTTCCCGAGTACTTTGCGACCCAACAGGCTTTAGTAGGAGAGACCATCAGACGAGACAACCCCACAATGAGCTTTCTTCTGTATGAAGGTTATTCTCTTGCTTATGAGATGGTCCCTTTAAACAGGCTATCTGGAAATAAGTGGGTACAGAGGAGATTGCACCAGTGTGGCTTTTCCTGACATGCTATATCTGCCATTGCTGCCAAGGCTAGCTCCTGGACAGTGAGCTCCCCTGGGCTCCACAGTGCTGCAGCCTGAGCCAGGGACCAGGCTGCCAGCCAGAAATGGCCACGCTGGGCATTCGGTACCTCACTGGAATAGGAGCTATATCCAGCGCCGCTCTTCCTCTCCAGCAAGAAGTGACGCAGAGACGGTCCCGCTCTCCTGAGCATGCCACAGCTCCTGCTGTCTCACTCCTGCGGGCACGGACCTGCATTTCCCCCGGACACAAAGCAGAGGGGTGAGACAATTGCTCCATGGCTGCAGGAGTAAAGCAAATCCTCTGTGTACCTGGGGATGAGGCAGGTCCAGACCCAAAGCTGTGGTTATTCTGCCACAGAAAGGAAAAGGGGGGGATGAGCTGTTCTGTGTGTTGTTGCTTCACCATCAAACAGCGCTGGGATTGTACTTTGCGCCCATGACACACACTAAGTCAGGATCACAAGGGCAACCATGGCTTCTGCCTTCTCTCTCCCCAATTCCAGGTTCCCTTCTCTTTCCTCTGCTCTGGGGGGAGCAGTACAGACACCAGTGAGAGGGCATCTTAGTATTCAACATCAACTTCCCATGCAGTTTCATTGATCCCAGGTATTTCTTGCCTCTGCCCTTCCTCCCCTGCAGCACCTCCACCTTCCTCGTGATGGGGCTGTGCCTTGGCGGGGATGTTTGGACACCCTGCCTCCAGAGGCTGCCAAGTGAAACAGGGGCCTTAGGGATGTATGCTGGGCAAACCTACTGCACCCAAACCCACCCCTTCCTTTGCCTTCATGCTCTTAAGGTTACCAAAAAAAAAAAAAAAAAAAAAAAAAAAATCAGTGCAAGAGTGCTGCTATTTTTGAGAAACTCTGGCCTCTCAGCCTCTGCAACTCGAGGCTGTTTAATCACAAGTTTTATTCTGATTAACAAGGTGTCAGCTTCCATCTCCAAAGTGATTTTGGTGTTTACCTTTCCTTCAAGGCCCCAAACAAATCAATTTCTGTGCCCGATGCAGCCTTTTCCTTTACCTCTGGTCCCCTTGACTATTCTACAGCATTGGTTAAACATGTGGTATTTAAGCTAAAATAAGTTAATGTTTTGTTAGGTACTTGAGATAAAAACGGTCAGTCTGGAGGATGCATGCACCTTTATTTTGACAAGACACGGATTAATTTACCGAGCTGCCAAAAAATAAATTAAAACAGGTTTGAAGCTGACCAGCGTGCAGGTAATTTCTCGGTACTGCTAGGTGCACTTTTCATCTTCACATGCAGGATATGAGTCTTCACTGTTTGTATTTTGTGTTATTTCTTACACAAGTGCAAAGCAGCTGCCAGCTGAGACCAGTGGGATTTTACATCACTCTGCCCAAGTGGGAAAAAACAGCACAATTTATGGAAAAATGGGAAGCCACAGCATGACATCACTCAGGACTGTGAATTACGCACCTTGACCCTGTGTGTGGGATGGCTGCATGTCAGGGACGGCTGCTGAGACTCAGAGGGACACTGCTTTGGGATGCAAAGTAAATGAGCACTGGGATGAGGGGGCTAACCCTGCAGGTAACAAAACTAAAGTGTGACATTAAAAAGGGCTTCACTGTATTCCAGAAAACTACAGAGCTGGTGTAAGTGCCGTACACAAGGCTACTGCAAAGAGCTAGCGGCAGCAGCAGCAGGGTCAGGGTGCTGCTGCAAGTGGGAGCAGCTGACCAGGCAGAGGGTTCTGCCTCACCTCCCCAGCCCTGGACAGCATTTTGGAGTGGGGGTCAGCCACCAGAGAGTCAAAAAGGGGGATTTCAGCATCTCATCTGGTTGGGCATGTCAGGCTGGGCTGTACGTATGCTCCCTGCAAGGGAACCGGGGCACCTCTCACCCTGGCAGGGTGCACAGGACGGAGTGCACTACAGATTTTGGAGGCGATAGCTGAAAGGTCACCGTGGGGATCAGTCACTCACCACCTCCTGCTCTCCAGCCCATGGGCACCAGCCGTCTCGTCATTCCCGGTGCTCCCTCAACCACCTCTGTGGTGCTGGCCAGCTTGGCCGCTTGCGGGTGCACCCAAAGGGCTCTGGGGACAAGGGTCCCCCTGAACCCCTCACACCATGGGGTGTAATGCCACAGCGGTAGCATGGGCGAATGCAGCAGCAACAACCAGCAAGCACACACACGTAGGTGCAAGGCAGCTCCCGGAAGGGTTGGTGGGGAGTAAAATCGACTTACATCAAGCTGGGCCACACTGCCTTATGCTGCAGAAGTCTGGCACTACCTCCCAGGCTGCATTGGTTCACATGCTGCCCTCTCTCTGTCTCTGAAATGCTTCATCTGCAGCTGGGACTTCCTGGGAGGAGTCGGAGAGGCTGCGGGAAGGCAGGAGCCGAGCTACAACACTCTGATGGGGAAAATCGTACCGGGAAAAAGGAGATCTTGGGTTGCTCTCTAAATCACCAGAGTGAGGGAGGAGAGGGCTTTTGGGAGCAGGTCCCTTTCTCCTGGAGGCTTGGAGACAGAGCTGCCAGAGGATTTTGGCTGCCTGGGAAAATATCTCAGCATATTGTTCAGATGGAGGCTCATACCAGCATAATTACAGCAGGATAATTTTTGTGGTATGGCTATAATTACTTTGGCATGGCAATGGCAGGGAATTTCCCTTTGAGTGAAGCCTTCAGTCATTTTGAAAAATTAATTTTTAAGTCAGTCAGACACTCTCAAAAGTTTCACCCTGCAGGCTTAATATTATTAGAGAAGAGAACGGATCACAAGTACAGAAGGTGAAGGCATCAGCATTGGGTTCATCAGAGGATAATGACCAGCTGCCACGATACAACTTAAAGCAAGATTCTGCAGCATTGTCAGACCCCTGGACTGTGGATGGGCAGGGAGACAAATAGCAGCCTCAGAGGGGGTTTTCAGTGCATGGATGTGGAAGCTGAACTCTCCATTAGTTGTCTGAGAGGTGACAATCGCTGCAGTGAGGTGTAGAGAGAAAATTGTCCTCTCTTGGCTTTCCTCTTCCTTTTGTGACAAGACTTTACATGCACCGATGAATCCGGTCGTGTAGGTCTCCTGGATGAGTAATTGCTGTCTCCCTTTCACAGTAGGAAAAAATGAGGCACAGGGAAAGGAAGCAGCTGATGTCCGCTGTGCCAAAGGTTCCTGAATCCCAACCCGACATCTGGCCGCTGGGCTCACAGCATCCCTGCCATGACTAAGCAAGAGGGAATGTCTGTGCAGGCAGATGCAAACTCTTTGTTTTCTAAACTTCTGTTAAACACCGAAACAAACAGATGGAAGAAAAACTTGTGTTTGATTCATTAAGAATGTACACAGCACATCTTGAGCCGTCTAATAGCTCAATGCCATTTTATCTTCTCCCTCCTGCTACCCTCGATGTGCTGTCTTTGCCCCCTTCTCTGCCTTGCACCTTTCCTGGTTGTTTTTTGCCCCCTGATCTGAGCTTACTTGACTTGCTAAATTAGCAGAAATCCAACCTGGTGGAAAAGAGGACAGTTTTTTGTAACTGTCTGTGAGTTGAATTGGCTCAGGGCAGGGTGGGTATAAGTGCATTTGACCTTAATGTCCTCTTAAAATTCAGCAGAAATTGCTGGGTAATATGCATGCAGCCAGCAAGGAAAAGGACACATCTGACCTTGGAGTTTGTTCTGTAAAACTCAAGGAAAATTAGGACTCTCTCTTTCTTTAGATCATTTTAATTTAATAAGTGCATCTAGACATGAACAGTTCTTCTTAATGACTTTTTTTAAAAAAAAAAAAATCTAACTATTGCTCTGGGCTGATGAGTGTCTACAATACTGTTCCCTGGCAGGTGGGATCATAGCTCCTCAGGCATAGGTCCTGTGCATATGGCTACAGGAGGATGCTAAGACATGTAGTGTTCCTAGAAAGCCACAGATATGCTTATTTTACTATAACAGTGATCACTGGTGTATACAAGTTAAAATTGGCTGCACTTAACCACTCAGAACTGCCTCTTGTACACTAATGAAATTATAATGAATGCCTTTGAACCATCCTTTATGAATTTTAAATAAAATGATGCTGCCCAGTGTCCTCCAATGAGTCAGCCAAATGAAAATAACCATTAGTGAATCAGCCTGCTTTTTTCAGGTACCACAAAATTACTGTTCCACATATCCTCGTAACACACCGGTGTTACTATTCCTGCTGTGAGGAAACATATCCTGTATTTTTCAGTGGCCTTAGTTTAGTGAGCTGTTGTTAGCGAAATGGAACAGGGTTTTCAAAATATTCCACTTGAAAAATGTCACATAGGTTGGTTCTTAAGGAAAAAGAGGCAAAAGATGCAATTTAAATGATTTTCATTATTTTATTGTTAACTAGACTTAATTTTGATACTAGCTGTATCCACTATTTTTTATCTGAGGCATGCAGCGGGATGCTCACCAGATTTTCCCCACCGATCTGGACCATGTGCCCATGGTCCCTAAATACAGATGATGTCTGTGGCCTTGGTGATTTGAAGGATGGGAACCAGGCGTGCATCAGTTTTGCACAGGTGTGGGTGTGCGAGAGGAAAGCCAAGTGGTTGGGCCTGGACTACGTACCATTCATCCTTCTGCACAGGGCACAGCGACAGTGAGGCAGATGAAAGCTCATTTTAAACGTTTGGGAGCTAAGGAAAGGGTTTAATGTCACTTGAGAGGAGGTAGGGCCCCAGCAAGGAAAGACAAAGCCTCCTTTTTTGTCTGTGAGCCTGGAGGTGATGCACACCCGGTCCAGACAGCTGAGCGGATGCTCCGCTTGGAGTTCTGGACAGTTTGAACTATGCTGAGGAGCTAAAACTGAAACAAGGTGATGTCAGGGCATCACAGCTATCCTTTTTTACCCTCCTGTGTTTTCACAGCAGTGACACTAGCCTGAATCAGGGCCTGAAGCGGTCCCTGGCAGGCCTGGCTTTCCTCCCTTCTTCCTGAGAGATGGAGGCTGCTGTCCCTCAGCGCCACAGGCTGCAACTGAGTTGTACATATAATTACATTACATGAAATAATGATAGAAGGCTTTGTCATGATTGGAACATAAACCTTAACAAAGAAGTAATTTTTTTTTTTTTTTTTTGACAGAAAGAATCAATTCTGGAGTCCAAAGTCCTGCTGTCCTGCCACATAGGGTGAAGGCGCTGATCCCCACCTTCCCCTTCGTCTGCCCAGCGCTGAGGCTGGAATCGTGGCGGCCCCTTTAAAACGCTCACCATCTTGAGCGCTGCCCTGCACCAAGATGGCGCTCCCGCCTTCACTTTCCCCTCCTTTCCCTTCCCTCCCCTCGTTATCCCCCCGCAGCCACCAATGCCGCCCACTCACCCCTAGTTGACCGCGCCCTGCACAAAGATGGCGGGCGTGCTCTTCTTGTCGTGCCCGCTTCCAAGATGGCGGCGCCGTCCGTCTCTCCTCGCTTAGCAGCGGCGGCGGCGGGACGGGCTGATGGCCGCCATGCCGGGCGGGTGAGGTCAGTTCCGGGGTGGGGCCGCCGCGGTGCGGTTGGGGGTGAACAAAAGGAGCCGGAGCCGGCGTGAGGGAGGGCGGGGGCCGAGGCGGCCAGGTGGGTGTCGGAGTGCTGCGGTCCAGCTCACGCCGCGCTCCCCTCCGCGTTCCTCTCCGCGTATCTGTGGGGTTTGAGGGGAGACACGGGGGACGTGTCCCCCGGGTGGGGCGGCCGTCAGGGGAACGGGACCGGCCCTCGCGGGAGGCGAAGGGCTGTGGGGCGGCGGGGGGGCCGCAGCCCTGAGGGGAGAGCAGCGGCCAGGTGTGGCCTGAGCGCCGAGCTGCTCCCCTCGCACCGCCCGGGCGGGCGGGGAAGATTTGCTGACTAATTCGGCAGTAATTCGTTTCCTCCGTGTCCCCGCCGTCCCTGCCCTGTCAGGCGGCGGGGCAGCCTGCGGCTGGCGGCAAGCCGGGCTTGATGGCAGGTGGGTTCCCCCCCACGTCCGCGGGGTGGGGTAGGGCCGTCCCGCGTGTGCCGGGTGTCCCCTCCGGGGGACCTTGCTTCTCCTGCAAGGGGGAAGTCCCGTATTTGTTACCTGACAGCGGTGCTGGGGTTGGAAGCTGGTTGCTTGTTTTATTTATTTATTTATATATTCTAATAGAGGATGTCTTTTCTGTTTCTGGAAAGCTGAGGTGGTGTGGCAGACTTGTGGGCAGATGGGGCTGATGCGCAGCCTGCGTGTGCGGGAGCACGGAGCCGGTACCGAGCTGTGCAGGCTCTGGGCTGGTGCTGAGGCCGTCGCCTGAGAGGAGGTGAGGGGAGAAGGTCAGAGAGTCCTCGCCTTTAAACGTTTCCTTTGCAGCAGTCTGTGACAGCTAAAATAGAATAGGTTTGATTATGAGGGTGGTGTTTTGAAATCTGTCAGCTCTAATGATAACTTTGGGGTCAGGAGGAATGTATTTTTGAGCATCTTCACCAGTATGATTTTTTTTTGTTTTGTTTTTTTCTTCCAGTGATGTCCCTTCCTTTTAATTTTTCCCTCTTGTTGACAAAATGCCTTCTGATGTTCTTCAGTTCTCTCCTACATAGCTAACAGGCTGGATGCCTGAGAGATCTCTCAAAGCTTAGGTCTACTCCCTTGACTCTTTTCCCATGCCCTGTGCTGACATGCAGGAAGCAAGAAAAAAAAAAAAAAAACAAACCAAACTGTTGCAATTCTTGTTGATGGTGCTAAACTGCTGCCACTTTAAAAAGATACATATTGGTAGGTAGGTGTTGAGAGGAAGGGGGATAGTTGCTTGAATCCAGAGTGGTTAGGAACATGATCTACATTTTCAGATATTCCTGCTGGTAACATTAAAAAAAAAAAAAAAATCTGGCGTTTCAGACTAGAAAGTAGGTGGTAAAGCCATTAATCCTTTTTCCCCATCTAAAAAAATAACTTTCTTCCAGGAGGTTGATTTCTCTTTACCAGTTTAGGCTTAGTTATAATATTAATATTCAGCATCTTCTTTGACTGAGTCTGCAACACCTGATTTTTTGGTAATTTATGTTGGAGTAACAGATGTTGGAGATTCCTTCCTCCCAAGAATTTTACTTAACTCTTATAGCTCTTACCATCTTTCTAGGTATCAGGGTGCCTCTGGTTCCCAGTGACTCTCCAAGTTGTTCCTTGCTTCTTAGATATCCTTTACCAAGCTTTTTACGTGACATGGTCCCTCTGTGAACTCGATCCCCTCTTCTCTGCTGATAATATCTGTTTCATTTCAGGGAAGCTGTTCCCATGGCGTGTGGGGAATGCAACGTTTCAGCACCCACTCAGGATCCAGCACGCAGGAACATCGTCCACTTCCAGCACAGAGAATTGAAGTGCAGATAGCAGAACCCAGCTGCAGGGTAAGGGCTACAGGCCAACTCCTGAGTGGTAAAGTAAAGCCAAAAAGATGACCAGGGTACTACTTAAACATAGTTGCACAGTACAGGGCAGTGATGAAATGACTGATAAGAAGCAGAGAGGAGAGGTGGTTGATCAGAGGGTGATGTGGGGAGAGTGGTGGTATGCTAATTAAATTCTGTAAGCCCTTAGTCAACTTGAAGGTGAAAAAAGAGTAAAGGAGCTGAGCATTGTCCAGAGTATAATATAACTGTTATATATTCACCCATACATCTAACTCCTGGCCACATAAACCCTGATTTTTTAATGCACTACATGGTAAATACTTGAAGGCTGTCCAGTAAATGATTTGGTGACTGTTGCCTAAAAGGAATGCAGCTGAGAACTAGCAAGAACTCTTCAGTTTGGTAGGTGCTCTTCCGTTTCCCATGGGGTGATGTCTGTATTGCTGTAGAGGCATCTCCTAGGCAGTTGTTTGCAGTGAACTCTTAGGAGTGCGCTGGCTAGTCACCCATGTGGGTGTCAGTTAGGCAATGACAGAAACTAGTTGCAAGAAGCTCCCTGCTTCCTTGGTCCTTCACTAGGATAATGATGAAAGGTGTTGCAGAATTCTATACTTATCTTCAAGATGAGAAATGCTGTCCAGATCAGCTGTGTTCTGAGCAGTGAGATGTGCAGTATGTTGCTTCCAGAATACAAGCATCCCTACAACTTGTCTGATGTTCTGGTTAGTGTTATGGCAGTTTACTGATTTGTTTTTCATACCGATCCTCTCATGGTTTTTGGAAACCCTAACTTTATTCATGTAGGTCAAAGACAAGGTGCATAAATATTTCCTTAAAGTATGCCAGAAGCCATGAGTTAAAAGCTAATGTTTCCGTGTTTGAAATGTGGAGTGCCTGAAGCCTTCCAGTGATGACTTACTGAATGCTTAGAGCTGATTACATTCTAGTAAATGCTGCAGGCATTCAGAAAGATGGTCTGTGATTTGGGGTTCTCTGAAACTTTTTTATTTTTTTAAATAAGCAGTGGAGGTCAAATGTATAAATTATTGCATTATTACTGTGTGATTGGAGCAGGCTTATTAGAGACCTTCATGTAATTCTTCCACATTCTAAAGAAGGATTTTGTTCAGTAGAGTACTTAAAAAGGAAATGAAACTCACTTCTGGTGTTAAATTGAGCCTAACTGGTCTCTAGGTAAACAGAGGTGTAAGGTCAAGTCAGTAGTGGTGGAGCGGAGAGGATAGGGGTTTAGAAGTTTTGTGTGAGGCTCCTTAATATGGGCTGTATGTGCATGCATAGCTATTGTTTTGGTAATGATTAAAAATTAATGTATTCAGCTCCAGCGTGGTCAACTTCCTTTGTGCATTTTTTCAAGTGTTTTCAAATATAGCCTTAGTTTAGGATATGAACACTAATACTGAGCAGGAGTTTAACACTCCACATGTTTTGAAGATCATACCTTGAATGCTTCCAAGTAGCTTTTTCCTTAAACTGTTGATGTGGTGCATGTATTTTTTTTTTTTGTATTGCAACTTGAAATCCAGTTCATATAGCTAGATTATACATGTCCCTCCTGCTGCTGTGAAACTGCATGTGAAACTAAAAGCTATTCAGTCATGACCTCCCTGCTGAAATAATAGTGTTTCCTTCTTGTGTAGTAAGCATTGTTAACACATGCTATAAAATTACCCTGGCAATTCACAAAGCTCCTCTTGTGACAAATTTGCAAGCTGCTTCTCTAGCTACAGCCTACCTTTGTGAACAGTAGAGGTGTGTATTGGACTAGTTAACAGGTTATCCTTTAGAGTCTTAGTTTTATCAGATCTTGGTGATGAAAGGTTATAATATCCCTTATTAACTAATGCAGTCAGAAAATGTTCTGAGCTGGAAGTCATAGTTACTGTTTTGGAGCTCATGGTCCTGAAGTGAAGGCTTATAGGATATGGTGAATATGCACTCATCCCCCTTCTTTCCTCTCACTGAGGCTAAATATTATGTGCTGATAGCTGATGTCTTACTTATCTTTATTTGCTCTCATTTGCATATTCTTTCATCTAAACTAGCTCATCTCTTTGAGCTGGAAAACAGCTGTGGCAACACCCATGGATTTCTGCATGTTGTGACAATCTGTCAACAATCACTTAACATTACCCTTGCTTAAAACTTTTTACTCACATTGAATCTGGTGTCTTGGTTTCTCAATCTGTTATTAGATATGTCAAAGCTCTGCTTTGTCCATTTCTGTCTTTAGCTGAAACCAGCTGGCTACCTTTTCTTGTATGGCTCTTCTCAGTGCTTGAATTAAATGCTTCTGAAGAGTCTTCTGCTCCTGCTGAGGTGCTTGAAGCTGTTCTGGTTGTTACAAGTTGATGCTGTTGCTGTCTGTTTAGCTTAAGTACTTACTAACAGAATTAATTCAATCACTTGCATTAGTCAGTACAAAGGAGTGTTTCATAGTGTCCTGCTGGAATAAGGCAGTCTCACTTTTCCAAGACAAGCGCTAATGCCCTGTCCTTGAAGCATCTTTTTTTATGGCAAAGAGAAAGTTAATTTTGGATAGGAAGCCTGTGACTATGTACCCTCATAATTTATAAGCTGACACAGACATTTTTATCTGGTTTGCATCACTGTTGCAAGTCATCTGATAACACTTAAATTTACATAGCTCTATGACACTGACATACAGTCCCTGCTGCAAGTGTCAGTGATGCTGATAACTTCAGACTGTGTTCACATCTGTGCAGTTGGGGTAAAATGCTGTCAGAAGTCAGAAAATGTGGCAGGTGAAGCCAGGTCTCTGGCACGTATTGTTCTGATAGTGCAGATGCTCTTCACTGTACTTGTTAGGACAGGCTTGCTTGTGTGATGGTAAACAGGAGCTGTTGTGCTACACTGGTAAGAATGCCAATCTTGCATCTGACAGGAAGAGTCAACTAAGAGGTAGCTGTAAAGATGATAAAGTGCTGTCCATAGTGTAGGTGAATTATTCTTTTTCATGAGCTTCAGTAAAGATGCTGTGACCCAGTTGGTTCACTTCATCCTGCCATATCTTGTGGCTTGGGTGGGACTGAATGTTGCCTACTGCTGCTGGATGGTTGTGTGAAAACCAACTTACTTTGCTCTCAGGATTTAGTTCACTGGCTGTTCCACTAAGTGAAGAGTGTAAGTTCTGGTAGCTGCTGTTCCACTACTCTGTCTGCCAGTCTAAATGATAAATGACCCTTTAAATTTCACATGTTCATTTCTCTATCTCAGAAGACATTTTGTTCCACAGGAGGGTGGGACTTTTGATTCAGAAAGGGCCTGATGTAGTAGGGATAGTGGTTGGTTGGTCGACTTTGGCATCTGGCTTCACTGCTGTTTATTTCCAAGCAGCAAAGGACAAAATCACTTGAGTTGTTCCGTATCGTGTCTTGGACTTTTCCAGTTGATCACGTGGCTATCCTTGTGCTTGGAAGGTTTTCTGAGGGGTGCCTGAAAGCAGCTCTGTTTCAGCCTCCTCTTTTTTTCTTTTAATTCTGGGCCTAATAAACCTGGGGGAGGAGACACGTAAATTGCCAGTCCCATTTCTGACCAGCAAAGCTCTTACATTTCCTGGTTTTTGAACAAAGAGCTCTGTGTCATGCCCTTCTTTAGGATTTCAGGTGGCAGCATGCTGGGGAGGAAAGCTCTGCTCTGTTGAAAACTTACTGTAACATGTTGTAGCTCGTCAATAATCAGGGCTATAGTCTTAACGGCATCAAGGTTTTTCTTTCCCTTCTCTTCCTCTGATGCTGTCGGCACATGAACAGCTCCATCTCTCTGGGCTTCTGAGAGGTAAGAAATTCTGTCAGCATTGCTTGACTTCTGCTTTGCAGTCTACAATCTTAGAAGGAAATCTGCTGAGAATTAAGACTATATATGGTGGAAACTTAGGAGTTGCAAGAACCAACATACAATGCATCGATGTCTACTTATCTAAAACTGTTATGAGACTGCCTCACTCGAAAGCTGCATGCCACTGAGGTGAGGAGGACTTCCCTGACTTCAGGGATGTCCTCGGAGTAAAGGGTGGAAACTTAAATTCTTGTGTGTAGTCTTATTTTGCTAGTAGCTCCATTAGTAACAGAATGGCCAAAAGAAAGAAGAAGGAAAGAAGAGGCTGAATAAAGTGTGCAGCAAATGATGAGTCAAGCTGACAAACTAGCCAGTGAAACAGAACAACGATGTTGCTGTTCACTTTGCCCCTAACTGGATGGGCTGGCCAGGAGTTTCAAGCAGTTCTCAGCCAGGTGTCTGTCAACAATAAGTCAATCTTCACTTGTTTAGGTTGGATGGTTTTGGATAGAGGAGTTGTCCAAATCAGAGGATGTTTGCTCCTGCAGCAATTGTTCTATTATTACATTTGAACTTGTTAAATATCTCAGGGGTCCTGAGGTTTGTGGAAAGCATTCATGCTCTCAGCTCTGTCAGCCTTTATCTAGTAAAGTAGATGCTGCTTTATGATGTCTCTGTTAGCCAGATACGTTTAATCTTGTTTCTGACTGAGTTTACTATTTAGGTGTGGTGTGTTCACAGTGTCCCTGTTTTTCTAACATAAGTGATTATCATTCTCCTCCAGGTGTGTCTAGTAAAACATAGGATTAATACTTGGTGATGCTTATGGTTGGCTGAAGTCTGGGTAGGTTTGGCAGGCTGGTTATGTAAGTCTGAAACTGCTGTTCTGTTGTATCAGCCTGCTCAGCATTAATGGTGAGGCTGTGCTGCACATAGTAGGTAGGTGCCCAGCACAGGCTGAGGCAGGGGTGGTTGTCTGGCAAAAGGAGTTCATGGTGGGATGCAGACTTGGATCCAGATGAATCTGCAGGCACTGAAGAAGTATGTAGTATCTGAATGTGGACTACACAAGGATTTCAGCAGCATTTATATTTAGTCTGCTTTGATTCTGCTGTATGATAATGAGACTTTAGTATACAGACCTTTCCCTGTACAATGTCAGATGTTGTTGCTATAAAATA